AGCGAATATTTGGTCACTGCTATATACCTTCTCTCTCTGTTACTGTGATGACTTCCACATAGTTGGAAGGGAACAGCCCACACCGTCCGTTGAGATAGCCGAACCACCAGCCCTCGTTGTCCCCACGGATGATGTCGATGATGTCGTTCGATCGCAGTTGAAGTTCGTCGTCATCCTTCGGGTCATAGTCGTACAGCACCCTCGCGTACTTTCGTCCTGTAACAATGGAATCGTCATCAATTTCACGTCATTTCACGTCTATTGCTCACCATAAGGTTTAGTGGCGACGCCTGCCATAGAAAGGAAGAACTGCAGTTTGCCAAACTGCCTATTGCACTCAAACGCAAAGAAAAAGACTATTAAATCATCAGCAAGCAGCGACTTGGTTTGTTCAACACCTATATACTCTCCTGACTCGATTACGACAGGCACCTGATATTTTTCGCACGTGTGACGGCAGCATTGGGTCAAAAGAGTATGTCTGAAGTCGGTATCGTCCCCCGTCCCGGTTGAGAGATGGTTGGTATGCCGACGAACTTTGACCCAGTGATGGCGTCACACGTGCGAAAAAAAAACACATGTCTTCATCATTTATGGGAGATAGCTGATGCAGACCGAGAGATAATTCGGTCGAAAATTATCAAATTCTTTAGTTGTAGAGCTGTTTAGGCCACACCATGTAAATTTTATGGATGACGTCCGCGCGCGCATTGATTTTGGCCTGTTCAAGAAAAAAAACAAGAAATTCCGCTTCCTGTAACTATCACCAAAGAGTCACGACAGTGCCGCAAATCGTCAGATTGACGTGAAACCCGTAACGCGAGAACAGGACAGGACGACAACTGCTGTTCCACCTGATTTATTGCTGTTTTGATGATGAATAAAGGACTTCTTGCTTGTTACACTGTGTCACCTCATTCAATTTGTGTCCTAACATTTGTCATCTCTTAGTATATTTCTAATCTAGGCATCTTGTTTTTTAGGGCCCTTCTTGTTTTTTTCTCGCCCTCTCGCATATTAGTTTAGTGTCTCCAAAGGACGTCATCCATAAAATTTACTTGGTGTGGCCTTATATAATTTACCAGCCACATACCGTGTTCATTCGCCCCTTTTCTCTTCCCTTCGAGGTAAGAGAGTTGCAGGGCGTAACGTGGAACGGTGGCCGTGTTCCGTTTCATCTTGCGGTGCACGCTACACGCCACCAGCACGGTACAGACGATTACCCAAGCCGCTGCCGCAGACACGCCCGCGATTATAGCGATCTGGGGAGTCTTTTTCCAGGGACTCTGTACTTCACCTATAGTTAGGAGTAGAGGCAAATTGCTGTAGTACTTAAAGGGATGTAGATAATATTTGAGATTTTGTGGATAGTCTTTTTCCAGGGACTCTGTACTTCACCTATAGTTAGGAGTTGAGGCAAATTGCTGTAATACTTAAAGGGATGTAGATAATATTTGAGATTTTGAGGATAGTATTTTTTCAGGGACTCTGTACTTCACCTATAGTTAGGAGTAGAGGCAAATTGCTGTAGTACTTAAAGGGATGTAGATAATATTTGAGAATATTTGAGATTTTGAGGATAGTCTTTTTCCATGGACTCTGTACTTCACCTATAGTAAGGAGTAGAGGTAATGCTGTAGTACTTAAAGGGATGTAGATAATATTTGAGATTTTGAGGATAGTCTTTTTCCAGGGACTCTGTACTTCACCTAGAGTTAGGAGTAGAAGCAAATTGCTGTAGTACTTAAAGGGATGTTGATAATATTTGAGATTTTGAGGATAGTTTTTTTCCATGGACTCTGTACTTCACCTATAGTTAGGAGTAGAGGCAAATTGCTGTAGTACTTAAAGGGATGTAGATAATATTTGAGATTTTGAGGATAGTCTTTTTCCAGGGACTCTGTATACGTACTTCACCTATAGTTAGGAGTAGAGGCAAATTGCTGTAGTACTTAAAGGGATGTAGATAATATTTGAGATTTTGAGGATAATCTTTTTCCATGGACTCTGTACTTCACCTAGAGTTAGGAGTAGAGGCAAATTGCTGTAGTACTTAAAGGGATGTAGATAATATTTTAGATTTTGAGGATAGTCTTTTTCCAGGGACTCTGTACTTCACCTATAGTTAGGAGTAGAGGTAATACTGTAGTACTAATATTTCATTTTCATTTATTCTCTAAATTTAAGCCCCTTGTCCATATGCAAACATACAAGAACAGACTAAAAAGAGATCGAAACATGCGGTCCGTAATTTGGGGTTCATAACTGACTTTGATGCGTTCGCCCACATAGATGAATGACACATGGAGTCCGCCTATCGTACACAGGCATACGTGCGCAAGCTATTGCGCCCTGTAATAATGATAGGGGTTGCCAGGTGGAGTTGTTTACAAACCACAAACCAATAGCAACAATAACCTAAATCCGTATGGGGTCAGTCTACTGAGGAAGACCAGAGTGACCGGTCGAAAGGTCTAGGCGAAAGAACTTTGTTGTGTTGGATCAAAAGTTTTAACTTAAAAAAGAGAGTTCAAATTGTTACTATGAGATAAATACCTGCAACTATGATCCTGAGTGACCTTGACTCCGCAACACCGTACCCGTTTCTTGCCGTGCATATGTAAACGCCGCTGTCATTGGCTCTCACGTTGGCTAGAACGTGCGTGGCCATGCCGTCATCAGGGAAATGTTTGGCATCCAGAGGAACGAAACTTCCGGCTTTGGTCCACATGATTTCCGGTTTGGGATTCCCGTCGGCGAAGCAGTGCAGGCTGATGACGTCAGGCGCGACTTGTTTGGTGATGTTGGTTATGATGGCCGGATCTGGGGGACAAAATTTGCCAAACAAGAAATGTCAGTTAGGCCACACCAAGTAAATTTTATGGATGACGTCCTTTGGAGATCCTAAATCTAATGCGAGAGGGCGAAAAAAAACAAGAAGGGCCCTAAAAAACAAGATGCCTAGATTAGAAATATACTAAGAGACGACAAATGTTAGGACAAATTGAATGAGGTGACACAGTGTAACAAGCAAGACGTCTTTTATTCATCATCAAAACAGCAATAAATCAGGTGGAACAGCAGTTGTCATCCTGTGCTTTGGGGAGATAGATGGAGCGGTCAGCAAGTTTCTTCAAACGTGGCAGCATGTACCAAACTGAATTCCTAATTGAAGTCATGATTTCCTTGCTTGATGCTTCATAAGCTTTGGTCCGTGCAAACCTATTTGCGGCACTGTCGTAACTCTTTGGTCATAGTTACAGGAAGCGGAATTTCTTGTTTTTGTTTTTACAGGAACAGGCCAAAATCAATGCGCGCACGGACGTCATCCATAAAATTTACTTGGTGTGGCCTTAGTAGAATATTCATTGATCAGTGAGCGTTTTGAAAGGCAGCAAACACGTGCCTCCAAATTTTTGACGTCCACTGTATGTCTTGATCACGTACTAGTGAGCTAGTCTCGCGAGAACACGAGACCACATTCTTGAAATTCAGGCCATATGCCTCATCAAAAACCCTGTCAATCAAGTATAACCCAATCTCCATCCTCTCACCTTGGAATCCAAACATACAAACCTAACGTAGATTAGCACCACCCGAAACTATACTTCCGTCCCAAAGGTAACAGGTTGATATATGTAATCTCTATACAATCTTCTCACACTACTGCCTCAAGACAATAATTTCTGAGGCAATATCATAGTTCACATTTTTGATTCGCCAATGTTTACAATACTACATTAATCCATACACAACCATGCTAAATGTAAAGCAACTTCATAAGTTTTCTCGAATAGCTTGTTGGGAACAGACTTGCACACATTCATGCCTTTTCAAACCTATGCTATAAAATAGTCATGGATGTCTTTCATCTTATAAAGTACATTATCAAGTAAATCATATTGTAGTGGGAAGTATTGATTTGTATAAAACATATACATGGGGGAAATTCTTCCTGTGACACCATCACCTCAAAACACACTCCCTTTGAACAGACTATAACGGACAGATTGGATTCTAGCCAATGAAACATTGCTCTTTGATCCAGTCCTCATGGGACCGCCAATCACAGCCATTGTTTCATGAGGCTCTCGTCTTGTGTGACAAAAGCCTGGTATGTGGTGTCTTTGGGGGCTGCTAAAGCGAGAAAAAGGGGGCGGGGATCAAAGAAAAGACGGTGTAACGCTGCATTTCAAGTCAACACTTCTATCCCAAAAGTGACAGTTGAAAGATACCATGGTAATCAGTATACAGCAGACGACAAAACAGGTCAGATTGGGTTCAGGAACCACATGACGCCATTTTGTTTTCCCAATATGCACTGCTGTTTCCTCATATTGGTCCTAGAACACATCGACCAAACGTATTGCGTCTGCGCGAGCCCTGATTTTTGACGGTTTTCGTTGGATTTTTGGTCAACGTTGCATCAGAATTTTGCCTGTTGCAGACGATATCTTTTCCGACATAATATTTGGGAACAACAGACGGAGTGTTAACCTTATATGCGCGAATATATGACCTCATATGAGACGTTCTGCCGAAGTGCTATGCACAATACATTACGGGTTTCGCGCAGATGCAGTACGTTCTGCCGCCGTACTGGGTCCTAGCAGGTATGATTTAGCAGTACGGCAGTAAGTCGGAAATTAGCCTTCCTTTTAGAAGTCTGGCGCCAGGATGCCAGGAGCAAAATGTCAGTAGATTGAACTAAGAGTCCCCGAGGGAAACTTAGAAAGCCTCGGGAATTAGACGTCGGTCTGATGGAGCACCGGCAGTCAACTTTCCTTTAACTCTTCTACGTGCCTTAGTTATTTCTACATTAACACGCGACCTTCTTTAAGACCTTGTCTCCATTACTTGTACCAGAAGGGTGATGACTTCCCACAATGTGACGTAGAAGACTCAGGGAAATTGCAAAAGGAATGTTTAAGTGAGACCAAGATTGAATGTTGGAATTACCTTATTCCCGAAAGTGTCGCCTACCTAGAAGACATTGTTGATGAGGTTTTAAAACTTTCAGTCTGGAATTCTCTGATGTATTTTTATACTAAATGTGAACATAAATCCTAGTTTCTTACATGCCATACGTAGCGACATAAATGACCTACGAAGACATCTTTAAAAGTTCAAACGTTAGTTTCTGACATTGATCCACCCATAAAACTTTCTACTCCTATGGTATTCATCCAAATGTTTTTGAACTTCAGTGAATGTTTCTTGTTGCTCTTTTACCAAAAATCTTTATAAAAGCACCTCTAAAAAGTTAGACATGTAAAACCTCAATATCCCTTCCAGTATTTGTGTACGTTATGTATAGTCTGGATGGACATTAATCATATAGTATATAGGTCCTGTTTTTGCTCAGTTTCTTCTTCTTCTTCCGTTCCATCATCATCATCATCATTCATCCTCCATAATAGAGGTGGAGCATACAAAGTTAGCTCGCCAAAACTGTTTCTCATACATCACAGAGATGAGTTCATGTCCCTCCAAGCCAGTTTCAGTTTCAATAAGTTTCTTAAGCGTAGTGTTTGGGCGTCCAACTCTTCTCTTACAGGTATCAGGGTTCCAGAGTAGAAGCCTACTGGCTGGTTCTTCACTATGTACTACATGACCGGCCAAGCTTAGTCGTCGACATTTGACTACTGTAGTTACATTTGGTAACGAACCGTATAACTGTTCATTAGTAGTATGTTTCCACCATGGTGTATTGAAAACCACTCGCATCATCTTCGTGTATGTTCCGTTTAGTTTTCTAGAATGTGACATATTCATGACCCATGATTCTGACCCATACAAAAGAATTGTTTCAATACATGCCTTAAACACTTTGATCTTGGTTTGTTTTCTAATAGACGCTTTCCAAATCTTCCGTTCCAAACAAATAGAATCAATGGCCTGGACCAGAAGTCTGTCACTATGGTAACTGGTGTTGTTGCAGACACCATATGGTGTTGGGTTACATTATGTAGCAGAACAGAGTTGGAGAGCCTGCTCACCATACGTAAGAATGTATTTGACTTTGAGTAAGAATAAACAGAGTGGTAGTTTATTGGGCTAGACCAGGTGAAGGTAAACATTATGCATTTGCTTTGCAAATATTACCTTTCTGCTTTTTTATATGATACGCCTGTGTATGTATCAACGAGTACAATTAGGCCACACCGACTTAATTTTATGGATAACATCCGCGCGCGCATTGATTTTCGCCTGTTCCGCCAAAAAAAAAGATCACGTCCTCCGAGGCTCTAGGCCTTGGTAGTCCATGGTAGTTAGCGACAATACAGAGCCGTTGGTAACTATGGAGGATAGCACCCAGGCTACTGAAGCTACACGACTCAAGACCTCAGTACATACGTACAATGCTGATTCATAAATTCCACAGAAAGCCAGCAAATGTACCGGCTTGTCGTATACGTCGCTATGTATTGCCGCGAATTCACAATACCTGCTTTGTATTCCTGTGGTTTATAAATTAGTAGCATTTTTATTTTTGGCCGGATTTTTTTTTATTCGCCCGCGCGCACTAGTTTAGGGGTCTTCAGAGGATGTCATCCATAAGATTAAATCGGTGTGGGCTTAGAGAAAACAACATGTATACAGAGGTACTTACAGAGCACTTTTAGGGTGAGCGCCGACCGATGTTTACCAGTCACGTGATCCACCACGCATGCGTAGTTCCCTGCTTCCTCCTTTGAAACATTACGGATGAGCAGGAATGGCGCGTTCATGTTCCCGTTGACGTACTTTCCGCTGTCCCGGTTGGGCGGCTGTATGCGGTCGCCATCTTTCTCCCAGTACAAAGCCTTGATGGGGGGTTTTGCGTCCTTGGTGGTGCACGACAGTGTGACGTTTTGCGACCATTCCACCACGTACGGGTTGGCAGGACCCACGGTTACTCTGGGTGGCACTGTGAACATGGGGGGGGGGATATTAGACAATATCCGTAAATACATGTATTTTCATCATCATGATATTAACTTTAGGCCATGTTGATTTGATTATATGGATGACATCCGCGCGCGCATGAATTTTCGGCCGTTTCCACAAAAAAAAAGTTTTCAACCATACTGTAAATCGTACAAAACAGTTGCAAAGTGAGCAAAAATATACCGTAAGTTACAAAAAAAACCACAACAATGTCGTAGGATGCCAAAATCAAACGAAAAAACACGAAATTGTAAAGAAATGAATTCGAAGAGTACATTATTCGCCAAACCATATTCTGTGCCATTTGTTCAACCCTCATGACCACGTACGTTTCATAATGAAAACAACTTTTTTTTTTTGCAAACCTTTTTTTTTATTCGCACGCGCGCATCAGTTTTGGGGTTCCCGGAGGATGTCATCCATATAATCAAATCAACATGGCCTTATTGTGGAATCGTATGGCGTAACGGTAGACTGTTCGGCTCAGACACACTTATCGAAAAGAGCAGGGGACCTTCCCCAGTGTGAGTGGTTCAAACATTACAGTCCTATGGGGTAGTATTGAGGCCATCTGAGTTAGCGCCAAATGGCAGCCGCTACAGACACTTGCGGTTAAGCCCGAAAAAATTGCAAGTTCCGCAAAATTCAGCCCTTGGCTGCGAAGAAAGAGTAGCATGCCTTAATAATAAATACTAAAATACTAATTTATTGCTCGACAATTGTACATGGTAGAGTGTGCGGCAGTAAGACAAGAGTATTACAAAACTAAACTATCCTACAATATATATTATCCTTTACAAAAACTATAATGTATAATACAAGGAAGTTCCTTTCGTAATAGGCCTACTACTCAACTGCGCACAAACCACTAATTCAGTAATTGTAAAGCCCCTGTCACATACTCAAAACCAAAATATTTTGAAATAATTTGCTGTTTTTAACTGTTTTAATACTTGCTTGTAATATTTAAGTCAATCGTATTTAAACACTTATGTAATGCGGCAGATCAATTCAGGGTCCAATGGGGACCCTGCTACTCTGTATCGTACGGTCAGAATGAAATAAACCACTATATAATATAATTCCTAGTACCACCAAACAACCAAGGTTGTCTGAATTTCGGGAGCCAAATGACCAGATTTATCGAATCGAATGTGAGTTAAATATGAGTCACATTTGACTGCCCAAAACGCTCCGACCACTGCTGACCTACATATACTCCCAACCACCAGCCAACCGCGCCCCTGAATGTTTAAAACATTTTGAAACGTTCGCCCGGCGCAGTCTATCAATAGCCGACCTCAGCGAACACCAGCCAACCACAGCCGACCTTGCTCCCGATCTACTCCCAACCATGGTTGGGGGAAGTTCGGCAATGATTCGGTTATGTGTCAAAAACCTGGTAGAATTCCGTTTTAAATTCAGACAGACGCTTAAAATAAAGACCGGTACCTTTGAAAGCGGGACACGGGTTCAGTAGACTCAGGGAAACAAGCAAAAGTACTCTTCGGGACACCATACTCGCTGTCTCCGTCGATCAGAACACCGTTACATGCTTGAAAAACAAGTTCCCTAGACCCTCCATGGAGCGCACACTGGACAGGAATGGTTGGGGCTGGTGCCGAGATCCTACCAACCAACCCGGGGCAATCGTGACAGGGATTACCCAAAGACAATCAGGTTTGCATCGGGGGTCAATCAAGCGAGGACTCTAATAGTGCATGCGATTTTGCCTCATTAAGGTTCCAGGGCAAACATCCGCTGTATGCAGGCCCGTATTGCATCTGCAATTATGATTAATTATAGAAACTTCAAACATGAAACCTTCATACGCTTCCTGAATGGTGATTCATTGGTCTGTAGATGACCAGAATACGCTGACATGTGATACTCCGCTATTTTTTTCCGTTTTCTTGGAGGAAATTTGACGCGTTCTCTGCCATAAAGCGGATGATGGGGATGAATAGGGATTGACGTTTTTGTTGAAAGCGTCCCTGTGGTACAAGCACTGATTCAATTGTTCCTACTCGCTGTAGCCATGGGCTTGATCATCAGACGTAATAAAATTAACGCGGGGTTTTATGTTTCCCCCGCCGCCTCTGAGGACACACTCGGGCGCTGTAATCATCTTAGCTTGTCTTTGCTGAAGGTTTGCGTTCTTGTCGATTGAATTACGACCAGGCAACAGTGACAGCTCTCTCCGTGTTGACAACTCAAATAGGAAGACGTATGAAAATGGAAATTATGCTTATTATGTGATTTCCTGCGAGATTTGGGAACCTTATCATGTTTTTGCTCTTTCTCTCCATCCAAATGTAACTCATGCAAGGAAATGTCATTTGCTGAAGACGTTTTGGGAAGTAGTCCATTTTGTTCTTGCGTTCTTCCTCACATATAGCTTCCTATAATCGAGAAGCTTATCTGTAAGCTCTTTGCTCTAATCAACACTTTGTTAACCCGTATGCATGCACCCCGTCGCCCGTTGCAATCGAATTCTTTTGGGACGTTCAGCTCAGTGATTGCCTATCTTCAAATTAGTATCTACTGTCCGAAACGACTGGCCATCTCCTGTGCCCATCTCCACTGTACTAATTGGGATTAACAAAATAAGCAATCGGAAACTGCATTCAGAAATGGGTACCTTAAATGGATTACTATTTGGTACCTACGCATGTAACTGTCTTTTCTTATTGAAAGCTACCAGTTAGAAGTCGAAAACCCTGCCCAACTTTTGCAAACGAACTTGCTTACGTCACGTATTAGTAAACTCTCGTGTGAATATGGTTACGTGTCCGTAACTCTCGCGAGATTACGTTTTGAAGTGGTTGGTCATTCATTATCCTGATGAAGGTGACAGTTGTCGTTGAAAATTTATCTCTTTGTAACTTTTGGTAAGAATAAAGTTCAACAGTTCTCTAGAACTTCAGTACTTGTTCCTAGACTTTTGCGCTGATACGTTAGCTATTGCACACTGTTAAGAGATTGACAGGTAGATGCCTTTAATTTCGTAAGCGTTTTTTCGTGTATCAGAGAATCCGTTGACTCCCTAAGGGCAAGGTAGTCATAATCATCGCTCATGTAATTTTCATTATGTTCGCAGATGTATTAAATCATGACGAGTGTGTTAAGCAATGGCGATGTTGAGGAATTCATTCAGATTTGTTATGTTCATAACTTCCCACTTCGTTGCGTCAGAAGTCGAATGAAAAATCAAACGGGGAAACTTTGCAATTTGTCATCTTCGAACCATCAAAGCCATCCGGCGGCAAAACAAAGATACTCTGAAGGAGGAAATCTGTCTGACATTGACATTTATTGCCATTTTTTAGAACATTTCCGTCATCATTTTATACTTGAAGCGATTGAGATACTATCCCAAAAACAAGCTACGAGAGAAGTTCGTTAATTTTGGTACCTATACAATAAATAGCTAGCTAGAAACATCCGACGATACGAAGCAATCGTTTTCTTAGCCTGGGTGCCGTTCCAAATTTAAATCGGATGGCACCTAGGAACCGTTTTCTGTCAGTGACATCGCATTTTTGCCTTACAGATATCAGTTTGCTATGGAATACGGTTGATTCAACCTACTACATAAGAATATGACCAAAAAATTGACTTCGAAAATCCAGTATTACTGCCTTGAAATCGCTTTGGGTGCATTTGAAGGCATTCTTGACGAAAAAAAGATTTTCTCTACTCAAAGCAAGCAGCTACACAAGTTCATGTCTGAATAGATATAGGGCAATATCCACGTCGTTATGTCAGTATACCTGAGAAAATCCAGATTAACTGCCTTGAAATCGCTTTGGGTGCCTTTGAAGGCATTCTTGACGAAAAAAAAATTCTCTACTCAAAGCAAGCAGCTACACAAGTTCATGTCTGAATAGATATAGGGTACTAGTAATATCCACGTCGTTATGTCAGTATACCTGAGAAAATCCAGATTAACTGCCTTGAAATCGCTTTGGGTGCCTTTGAAGGCATTCTTGACGAAAAAAAAATTCTCTACTCAAAGCAAGCAGCTACACAAGTTCATGTCTGAATAGATATAGGGCAATATCCACGTCGTTATGTCAGTATACCTGAGTCATAGCCAACATTACCGTGGCTCCCGTAAATGTTTTACCGCTCTGCACCCCTGTGCTGCTTAATACGTTGAGCGATTGGAGGTCACACACACACCTCCTTAACCTTCAAGGTGAGGAATGTCTTCTCTTTATTCTGTCGTCTTCTCGGCCGTTTTGGCCACGCCCAAGTCATTCCGGAAGACTGCAATTTCCCTATCATCGTTCCTCACGGGTAAAGTGGCGAAATTTCATTAAAATGATAAAGGGAAATTACCTAATGAAATTGCGTCGTTGTGAGACACGGAAGCTGTCGTATTTCCTCTCGAGCATAGAGACAATTCCCCCAAGGGTGTAAAAAGGATAGACTTCTTTATTTCAATAACGACATAGGCTTAATAAATATGAATGTTTTAAAGATAGTTAGCTTCGTTGTCGAATTGCGCAGTTACACGTGAAAGAATTCTATGCATAGCCAAGCTCTATTATATATACCAACCGACACGACGTCGTTTTTGTCAAGTTGCTGACTACGTGATATGTTTTGTACAGCATTAGCGTTTCAGACAGTTGGTGCCAGATCATGTCTGGTCTCGAAGATGCTCCATTACACCGTCTAGAACTTCCTCTCTCTAATGAACAAAGTCACGATAAGCGCACAGGCTTTTGTAAAACATAATTGCCACAAGTGTTATTGAATAAGTCATGCACTTATTAATATTCAAGCCCTCTTTGATGGATGCTTAGTTTAGGTAGTAAGGCCACAGCATGTAATTTTTGGATGCCATCAGCGTGCAACTTTTTGCCTGATTTTGAATTAAAAAAAAAAAAACAGGAAATTTTGTTGCCCTCTGACAGTGGTTAACATGCTGAAAATGGGCAAAGATGTCTGTTGCCATGCCGGATGGCAGATGAATATGAAGAGACAAAACTCTGATTTATTGTTTTATCTTTTATTTGTACTTTGATGCTTTTGAAGAAATCATTTCAAATTGACACATGGATGCTGTTATAGTTGGCAGTCAACATATGTATCATTTCTTGCTTAACAAGGATTATAATGTCAAAATTTGGAAATATAGGAACCTTCTTTTTTCGCCCCCCCCCCCCTTGTTTTTTTTCGCCCTATCGCATTAGATTTGGCGTCTGCGGAGGATGTCATCCATAAAATTTACTTACTGTGGCCTAAGGCCATGTTGATTTGATTATATGGATGACATCCGCGCGCGCATGAATTTTCGGCCGTTTCCAAAAAAAGACTTTTTAACCATACTGTAAATCGTACAAAACATTTGCAAAATCAGCAAAAATATACCATAAGTTACAAAAAAGATAATAAAAACTATACGAATGTCGTAGAATGCCAAAATCAAACGAAAAAAAGACGAAATTGTAAAGAAATGAACTTGAAGACTAGATTATTCGCCAAACCATATTCTGTGCCATTTGCTTAACCCTCATGACCACGTAGATTTCATAATGAAAAGAACTTTTTTTTTATTCGCACGCGCGCATCAGTTTTGGGGCTCCCAGAGGATGTCATCCATATAATCAAATCAACATGGCCTAACGCATCCTTTACAAAAATCCCTTTGAGACTTTCTTCGTGAGTGATTCAGTTACCAACCTTGAATTGGCGAAATGTGTTACCATATGGTAATGTAAGATGATGCATTGAGCAATTTTCCACAAATATTATCTCGGTAACCTTTTCATGTCGTACATATCCAAACAAGCATTATTAATTATGTTTTAAAAGTACAACTTTTGTTCCAACACAAAAAGGTAAATGTTGAAACACAAGTCTCTAAGTAAGGCCATGTTGATTTGATTATATGGATGACATCCTCCGGGAGCCCCAAAACTGACGCGCGCGTGCGAATAAAAAAAAAGTTTTGCAAAAAAAAAGTTCTTTTCATTATGAAATCTAGCTACGTGGTCATGAGGGTTGAGCAAATGGCACAGAATATCGTTTGGCGAATAATCTAGTCTTCAAGTTCATTTCTTTACAATTTCGTCTTTTTTCGTTTGATTTTGGCATTCTACGACATTGGTATATTTTTTATTATTTTTTTTTTGTAACTTATGGTATATTTTTGCTCATTTTGCAACGTTTTTGTACGATTTACAGTATGGTTGAAAACTTTTTTTTTTGGAAACGGCCGAAACTTCATGCGCGCGCGGATGTCATCCATATAATCAAATCAACATGGCCTAATAATTATGTCCATATTTGAAGCATTAATGATTATCTTTATCTTATATTGTTTTGTTTTGTGTTTTTTTTTCTTTTTTTTTCTTTTGTCTTGTTTAAGGTAGCCGTCCATGCGATTTCTAACTGTCAACCTTTTTTTAACAAGTTTGAACTTCAATTTTCGACCAAAAAATTGGACTTACCCAACTTTTTACTGTACAACTCCAACCTTTGTCAAGGAATGAACAATCCACCGCTTC